ACTGAACGCACGCAAGGCCCGTACAGATTTATGTGTGTGTGCTCCTCTTTATCCTTGTTCCTCCCTATACATATCACGCAATTTTTAATAGACATGTGTAATTTTATCGCGTTTAAAAATAAAAATTATGAAGTTAAGAAAACCCCACCCACTCACTTTATAATGCATTGCAATTATCCATTTTATTCACCCCTTAATTTGGTTTTCCAGAAGAGTCTTCTGCTGGCCGCCTGCCAGGCGTCATGAAAAATAATAAATATGATAATACATTTCCATCTCGTTTTTTTTTCTCCTATTTTTTTGCAGAGTGGCGCCGCCGCAGCGTCGGGCTGCCCCGTCACTCTCTCGTCGCCAAAGCCGGCCCGGCCCGGCTCACCCGGCAAAGGGGCCCAACAACGACACTCCAAAACGGGAGGAAATGCTCGCTCGGCGGGACCGACTGTCCGTCCGTCGCCCGTCCAGCCGTCCGTCCGGCCGGCCGTACACCCAGCCCATAGCGCACCGTGAGGCGGCGCCCAGCCACGTCACGCTTATAGAGCTCTCGTTAGAAGTAAGGGCGTCACAGCCGGCTTGGCAAGCTCGCGAGAGGGCCACCCGCCCCGCTCCGCCTTCGCCCCGCCTCGCCGCCGTGAGTCAGAGGTGATGAGTGCCTCCGCCAGGGAGGAGCCCAGATATGACGACTGCTGACGAGACGCCAACGATAAACCTGCTGCTCGCGACCAACGCTACTGTCACACCGAAATGTACGGGCAGCTGTCACTTGCGAAATTTGGCAGAGGGAAAGTGTGAGCAGGTATTAAAGGAATCGTCGGGAATCGTCCAGAAAGTAGGTCCGTTTTTCCCAGATTCACATTCGGCAAAGCGAATGAGCTGGGCGCCTGCAAGACTCGGGGTAGGCCACACCGCAGTACACGTGCGCACCGCAGGCGAGGTGTTGCCTACCTGCCAGGCGCTACGGGAGCTTGGAGAGCCTGAACTTGGCAGGTTCGTAACCGTAACGGCGTAACTTTCTGGACGATCCCCGAGCCCGAGTCTCTGAGACGGCTTTATATACACATTTGGCTCAATCTCGGCACGCGCGCGGGGCCGAGCAACAATGTTTCGAATCGTTTTCGGAGTGGTTGAGATGTAAGCACGGCGGCGGCGGTAGCGGTGAGGAGCAAGGCGGGCTGGCTCCTCCTCGGCACCGCGGTCACGCTTCGGCAACGACAAGAGGCGGGGGAGAGGTGGAGAGAGGGGTAAGGGAGGGGGCGGAACCGGCATGGAGAGGCGCTCCTGACTGCAGCGGCGAGCGGGAACGTATCTCAACATTCAAGTGTGAGCGCGGTTTGAGACAGAGTTGTAGAATCCTAAAACACGCACTTTCCAGCCTCCCACTTTGAAAACAGTATATAATGGCTGAAATCTAAAAGGGCGCACTGCGAGTCCAGATTTCTTCAATTGCGTTGAGAGCAGAGCGGGAAACAGACAGGGCGGTAATTGATCGCTTGCATATATCAGTCGCGGCTGATGACAGAGGTGCACCGGCCCGCCCCACCCATGCAACGATGGGGCGGGGCGGGGCGGGGCGGGGCGTGGTGGTCGCCCACGTGGGCGTACCGGTGTGTGGTGCCCGGCAGACCGGCCAGCCGCCAGTGCCTACGCCACCACCACCAGCGGCGCGCCGAGGCAGAGCCGGCAGAGCGTTGGATCTCGCTGCTGCATTAGAAATAAGCGACATATATACACATTTCCGCCCGCGACCCGCGAGTCCACATCGTCTGCCTCGCGCCACGCCCCGCCACGCCCCGCCAATCCCCAGTTGTGGGGATTCCAGTGCCCTTCCCTCCCATAGAATGGAGACAAACGATAGTAAAAGAAGGGGGGGGGGGCTAAAAGCAAAACTTTATCACTGGTGATATAAAAAGGAACCAAAATTTTACAGATGCGTTAAGTTTTGATGAGGGCATCTATCAGGCGGGGTCCTGGTCCGCGTTGTCACAAGTAGCGCAGAGGCAAGAGAAGTGATGCAAGTTCCAAGGAGGCGGGACGGGACACAGGTGTGGCGGGGCGAGGCGGGGCGGGGCGGGGCGGGGAGGGACCCAGGCGGGGCGGAGCCAGGCCCTAGACCGGAGGCGGCTAGAGAGCACTGGATCAGAATGACCAGGCGGTGATTAATTACGGCCGAAAAAACGATAAAACGCAAAAGTGGCCCAGCTATGTCCACCTCCCCGCCCCGCCCCGCCACGCCCGTGAAGCGCTAAACACTCACCGTTCCTCCGCGAGCCGGTTGTCGCGCGCCGTCTCTTGCTGGTAGCGCATCTTCTGCCGCTGGTACTCCTGCAGCAGGTTGTTGCCGCTGTCGTAGCTCGTCTCGGACGCGGCCCCGGGGCTGACGGAGCGCGCCGGGTGGGGCGCGCCGGGGTGGGCGCCAGGGTGGGCGCCAGGGTGGGGGCCGTGGTGTGCCGCGGGGTGCGCGGCGACCGGCGGCGGCACGGCGGGCGCCGGCATCGCCACGGGCTTGTCCGTCAGCGAGTCCCTCCGCGACGACCGCGAGTTGGCGGGCGACTCGCGGCCGCGGTGCTCGGGCGTCGAGGTCGCCGACGAGTTGACGGTGGAGGGCTGCTTGGCGGCGGCCGGGCCGTCCTTGCGCGCCGCGGCAGCGTCCTTGTTGGGCGTGGACGTGGCGTTGGCGTGGTGCATCTCCTGGATGGCGGGCAGCTGCGCCGGGTACAGGTCGCCGTAGCTGCTGCTCAGGAACACGTCCGCATCCGTCTCGAACAGCCGGTCCACCGAGGTGTTCATGAGCTTGTTGTTCTTGTGGCCCGTCAGGTGGAACGAGGCGAACGACGACCTGCTCATCGCGTCGCGCGCGCCCAAGGCGCCGCCCAGGCCGATGTCGCCCGTGGAGAGGGTCATGAGCGCGGAGCTGACGCGGCTGAGGCCCAGGCCGGCGGGCAGCAGCGAGCGCGTCATCATGTCGGCGGCGGACCGCGGCCGGCTCAGCGGCATGGCCGAGTGCGGGAACATCTTGGGCTTGATGGGCGTGACCAGCATGTGCTCCGTCCACGACGTCTCGAGCGACGGCCGCTCCAGCCGCTCCACGTCCACGTTGAGCGTGCGCTGCTCGAAGGGGACGGCGAACGTGTCCGGGGGGATGCTCTGCAGCCACGACAGCAGGCTGAGGTCCGAGTCGCTAAACCCGGCCGAGCCGTCCAGCAGCCGGCCGAAGTTCATCTCCTGGAATAAAAGTGGGAACAAAATTGGTAGAACAAAATTGATAGACACACTGTACGAAAAGTATTTTTTTTTTTTTTTAAGAAAAGGTCTCTACAACGTAAAAACCAACAAAAGATTTAATACTTTCCAAATAAGCTGTAATTTTTCATGAGAGTTTTCAGTACAATATCAAAGCAATTGTTGGATATGATTTGGGACTGACCTGAGACCTCTCCTCCGGGGAGCCAGTGGCCTTGCCCTGGCAGTAGGCGACGCACGACTCGTAGAGCACGCCCTTGATGAGCAGCTGCACGAGCCGGTCGTGGCGCGCGCACTTGCTCGGCGAGTTCACATCGGGCGGCTTCTTCTCGCCGGGGAGAAATTTTTCTACTAGAGGGAAGACTTCCTGAAAGAAAAAATGAGAAAAAATTGTAAGGCGTAAAAGAAAATAATTAAAAAGGGCAAAGTAACCGGGCGAGCGCTAGCGCGTGGCCGGAGGAAGTCAGAGATAAAACAAATGCAACAGTAGGGGGCGCACCTGGAAGCACTGCACGCGCGCGTTGCTGGGGTTCCAGTCGCGGTAAGCCAGGTGGTCCGTGAGCCGGGGCAGCGTCAGCAGCAGGCACAGCTGGGAGTACTCCTCCTTGCTGGGGGCGTACTTCTCCAGCTCCTTCATCACCTTGACCACCTCGTCGACGGCAGAGTCCATGCCGCAGGCCGCCCCCATGGCGCCGTGCAGCCCGGCCTCGTTCTTGATGCACAGCAGCTCCACGTACTTGTGTCGCAGCACGGCGTACTGCAGGCAGAGGTGGATGCATTTTGTAAGTGCAAATTCGATCACTTCGCGTACACTTTTCTTCAATCGAGGGGTACTTCACACTTCACTTTAAATTCAGGCGTGCACCGATTTTTCTGTTGTTTTTTTTCCTTGACATCTTTTGTTATTTTTTATTTAAGTTGACTTTTCCCCGATTTTTTTTTTGATTTTTTTTTATATTGTACACTTTTTTTGGAGTGAAGTACCCCTTGGCTTGACCTTTGATTGCAATTCACACTATCTTTGATGAGAACTGTCGGCGAAACTTTCAACTGACTGTAATCAACGAGCAAACGCACCTTGAACCTTCGCATGTCGAAGGAGGGGAGGGCCTCCAGGGGCTGGATGAACTCGAGGACATCGTCCCACTGGCCGTCGAGCACGAGCTGCCGCAGGAACACCACGTCGTCCGAGTACTCGCCATTGATGACGCCCGTCTCACGCTCCACGCTCAGCTGGGAGATGTGCAGCGACCGGTTCTGCAGGAACTCGAGCGTGAGACGCACCACGTCCTCCTCGCGGAGCGTGAGGTGCGCCGCCGGCATCACGTACCGCACCACCAGCCTGCGGACAACACAACACACACGTTCACGCTCAGTACACTGTCCTCAGGGAGGTCGTCACAGGCAGGGTGACTATACCAAAAAGCGTTCAACGCCTAATTTGTAGGGGAAACAGGTTTTGATTTACAAAAGTACAATTTTACTTCTGACAAATATTAATGTTTTTTTTTGTTTTTTTCAATGAGATAAAAAAATCACATCACTGTCAAGGCCTATGGTGTTAGTAAAAAGCGTGCGTCAGCTCGACCCTTGGAAAGTATACCCCATCCACTTTACTCCCGCCCCTCCCCTCCGCGTCCACCGCGCAGTCCAGGCACGAGCCGGGCCAGCTGGGCAGATGCGGCCAACTGCAATTGCAATCCGTCCGTCGATCAGCTCGAGTGAGACAGCGCGCCGCTACCGCAGGCTACCGCAGGCCGCAGCTGGGGCAGCGGCGGCAGCTGCAGGTGTCCCCCTCGCGGGCCGACGCAAAACAAAGCTGCCGTCGTCGAGTCGGACAAATTGTTGGAGGATGGTCGTCAGCGGCGGCGGCGGCCGGGACAAACCACATGATTGTGTGCGGGGGACGGGGGACGAGCCGACCTGCAGGACCCTCCAGTCCGTCCAGCAGGTAGGTCCCTCCAGGTCACTCTTCGTTAGGCCCCTCTAGGTTGGGTCCATCTGGGTCACTCTTTGTTAAGTCCCTCTAGGTTAGGTCCCTCTGGGTCACACTCTTTGTCAAGGCCCTCTAGGTTAGGTCCTTCTAGGTTTCGACCTTCTTCTAGGTAAGGACCCTCCAGGTTAGGTCGCTTCATGTAGCCCCCCACCACCCCTCCGGTAGGTCCCTGCAGGCAGGTCCCTCCAATGTCCCGCCAAACCAGCAGATAACGACGGGGCGGCTGGCTGGGCTGGGCTAGGCCGCTATAGGCCCGACGGGCCCGACGGTCAAGGTGTTCGATTCGACTCGCGGTGTGGTCCGGCCAACTGCAATTAGCTGGCCAGGGGCGTGACAAGCGGATAATGAGGGGTCAGGGAGGGGGGGGGGGGGATCAGAGCCGGTCTACAACAAGAGCCCCCGCCGCCACCGGGACACACACCGCGGGGATCATCGGCGGGATCAACGCGGGGATCCTACAAAACAGTCGTAGGGGCGGAGAAACCAACGAAAGTTTCCGCGGTGTTGCTGAGGGGCCGACACGCGTATTGCTGGGATATCGTCATTATCAGGCTGATGCAAGGGAGGTGTGGCGGGGCGGGGCGGGGCGTTCAGGAGCGCACTTTAGCGATGCATTTCCTGGGTACGTGCGCGCGTCGTTCCACTCGCTGCCTCCAGCACGAGCGCGACGCCCCGGCGCCACCACCCCGCCCCGAGCACGCGCTCGTCCGCACGCCGGCCGGCTAGGCAAGACAACAAAACAAGCAACTTCTGCGGCTGTAGGAAATGAGAAAAATTCCAAAAACTTCACGATTAGCAAGTTTACTTCCAAAGTCTTTGAATAATGACCCCAACATTTAAAATTCAAACTTCAAAAAATTTCTCAGTGAAAACAAATAGTATTGTGCTAATGTTTTGTATAAAATTTTGCAATAGATTCTACTTCTACAAGCTCTTCTCTTGGCAAGTTCCATGAGGTTGAACCATATTCTCTCCAGTATTGAGAGAGAAGTGACGGAGGGACAGGTGCTCGGCTGCTGATTCGGATCAAATACACAATCGCTGCCGATTCCCTCACCTCCCGCGCGGGCCTGCTGCCGATGTAACGAGACGTCTTGCGCCCGCTCCCGCCAGGCATTTCGAGCTAATTAACAGAGGAATCGCCGATGCTAATCTGCGCCGCCAGCCGTGGCAGACGGAGTAACGGCGGAAACCAAACACTGCAGGAGTTGACCGGCCAGCCATTATTATTACACTCAGCCAGCGGCGTAGCCGGCCACCCCTCGGCCGGCTACGGGTGTCAACTCTAGAAACCATCACAGTCAACTCACAACAAAAGTATAAAAGTTATCAAAACTTCATACAGCAACTTTGTGTTTTGTACACCAATAAGTTACAATAAGTCCCTTTTCTTATCATTTTCTCAAATTTTTCTCCCACTTATCAAATTAGTGTGTTTTAATGGAATACAACCTTAAGGACTATAATCGGTTGCCGGCTTGCTCGCTCTCTTACTCTCTTACTCTCTCTCTCTCTCTCTCTCTCTCTCTCTCTCTCTCTCTCTCTCTCTCTCTCTCCCTCTCTCATTTCAACTCAAAACTTTAAAGGAGTGTGTTAAAAAACAAGCACGAAACTTCGCTAAATTGTGACCTTTAATTGGGTACCGTAAAATTTACAACAGAATAAAACTGACATACACATTAATCTAAAACCGAGAGCGGAAAAAGAAAAAGAAAATTATACGATTATATTTATAATACAGAATTATGTTATTACAGCACTATTATGCTTTATTTATACCATTATTACACGTTATTACGCTTGGTACGAATTACGAGTTATCACGCATATAGTAAAGGTCTAGGAGTACGAGTTAGTGCGTAATTGATTTCCGCCTCGTGTGAAACAGACTAACAGAACATGTACCACACTATTTACATTATTGGGTATTCTGCCCTTTAGTACAAAAAAATAAGGTAAAATCGAAAAAGTAGGATAGTTTTCTAGGTAAATATTTTTTCTCCTCACTGTAAACACGGGACGGACACGGAAAGACTATGTGCTGTGGCATTGCCAACATTATCGGCAATAACTTTGTTTTTGAATGCCGAAATAGGTTAACCTAAATGCCGATAGCACTTTCATTTTCACCGCCAATTAAATAAAGCAGAGTCTAGTTCGACGCCTCCATGTGAGCTCGCAGATGTGTCAACAGAAGACAGGCTACTGGAAACTGCATGTGACAGACGGAGCACTTGTAAGGCTTCTCTTCTGGGTGGGTTTCCATGTGTCTCCGTAGATCTGATTCAGAAAACTTCTTCTGGCACACGGTGCACCCAAAAAGTGCCCCTTCCGCGTGTCTTCGCAGATGTTTCCACATAGAACAAGACACAGAAAACGCCCTGTGGCACACAGGACACTGATATGGCTTTACTCCAGTGTGGGTCCGTAGATGAATCCGTAGACTTTCTGGAGCAGCGAATTTCTTGTGACACAAAGTGCACCCGTACGTTTTCTCGCCCGTGTGCAGTCGCACATGACCCCTCAGATTTGAAGGATGATTAAACCTCTTGTGGCACACAGGGCACTGGTATGGCCTCTCTCCAGTATGAAGTCGCTGGTGATTCTTCATACTGTGAAGGAAAGTGAACTCCTTGTGGCACACGGAGCACTTGAAGGGCTTCTCCCCGCCGGTGTGAAGTCGCGAATGTCCCTGCAGATGAACCTTCTGAGTGAACTTCTTGTGACAAACGGTGCACTCGAATGGTTTCTCTCCAGTGTGGGTTCGCATGTGTAGCCGCAGAGTATTAGGTGTAGAAAACGCTTTTTGACACACGGTGCACTCGTGTGGTTTCTCTCCGGTGTGGGTTATGTGATGCCTCAGTAGGTGGGCATGTTGTCTGAAGTTCTTGTTGCACATCGTGCATTCATATGGTTTCTCACCTGTATGGGTTCGCAGATGGGCCTGTAAACTGCAGGATACAGAGAACTTTTTGTGGCATATGCTGCACTCATACGGCTTTTCTCCAGTGTGAGTTCGCATATGTAACCGCAGACTGCTGAATACAGAGAACTTCTCGTGACACACGTCGCACTCGTGTGGTTTCTCTCGGGTGTGCGTTCGAAGATGTAATCGAAGGTGCTCACTGCGAGAGAACTCCTTCTGGCATAAGGAGCACTCAAACGGCTTCTCTCCAGAGTGCATTCGCTGGTGTTTCTTCAAAGAGGAGGATACAGAGAATTTCTTGCCGCACTCGTCGCACTCGTATGGTTTCTCTCGAGTATGTGTTCTCATATGCAAAGACAGGCTCTGACGTGTGGAGAACCTTTTTGAGCACACTGAGCACTCGAATAACTTCTCTCCGGTGTGAATGCGTAAATGTTTCTGCAGGTTTCCGTTTTGAGCGAACGTCTTGTGACAAACTGTGCACCCGAATGGTTTCTCTCCAGTGTGGGTTCGCATATGAAGCCGCAGAACATTAGGTGAAGAAAACGCCTTTCCACAAACTGTGCACTCGTATGGTGTTTCCCCTGTGTGTGTTTTCATATGTTCCTTCAGGCAGGTAGACCAGGTGAATCTCTTTAAGCACACGGTGCACTCGTAAGGCTTCTCTCCGGAGTGAATGCGTAAATGTTTCTGCAGGTTTCCGTTTTGAGCGAACGTCTTGTGACAAACTGAGCACTCGAATGGTTTCTTTCCAGTGTGGGTCCGCATATGGCGCGTCAAATCACCAGATAAATAAAACGCTTTTCGACACACGGTGCACTCGTATGGTCTCTCTCCTGTGTGTGTCCTCATATGTAAAGTCAGTTCCTGAGATGTCCAGAACCTCTTCAAGCACACGGTGCACTCGTAAGGCTTCTCTCCGGAGTGAATTCGCAAATGTCCCTGCAGGTCTGCCTTCCGAGAGAACTTCTTGTGACAAACTGAGCACTCGTTTGGTTTCTGTCCGGTGTGGGTTCGCATATGTAGCGTCAGAGCACCCGATACAGAAAACGATTTTCGACACACGGTGCACTCGTATGGCCTCTCTCCTGTGTGTGTCCTCATATGTGCAGTCAGTTCCTGAGATGTGTAGAACCTCTTCAAGCACACGGTACACTCGTAGGGCTTCTCTCCAGAACGCGTTCGCTGACGATTGAACTTCTTCTGACACGGGGTGCACTTCAACTCTTTCTCTTCTGATTGGGTTCGCAGACCCCTCCGTGGTCCGCTGGGGCGGGAGTACTTCTTGTGGCACACTGCGCACTCTAATGGCATCTCTGCTACGTCCGGCTGCATGGTGTTTTTGAGGCACGCTTGCAGAGACACGTTGTGCTGGGCGGATCAGCGATGATGTCGAAATCTGTCCGCTGAAAACAAATAGAGAAATAGTTGATAAAACTTTCGTCCGAGGGGGAAGTAACTCCGGGCCTGCCCAGCGATGGGTGGGCGACTTGAATTCTTCGTGTACACAGGAGTACGGAACGGAGTACAGTCGGAGAACACTGAGTATTGCCGGTCGGAGCGCGCAGAGTACACCTGGAGTACACCCGGAGTACACCCGGAGTACACCCGGAGTACACCCGGAGTACACCCGGAGGACAGTCGGAGTACGCGGAGAGCTTGCGACAAAAACAGCCGGAGTACAATCGGAGAACACCTGGAGTACATTTTGGCCTGTACACAGGAGCCGCCTAGTCGTCCACCCCTCGCTGCCCAGTAATCACCAGGATAAAAATTAATCAAAATCAACAAAATCGCTTAAACTAAGCGGGGAACTAGTGGAACTGGTACAAATAAGTCGAAATGCGCGTTTTCTACCACTAAAAAAACCTAAGGAATGAATGGCGGATCGCTGGGAATCAAGTATTTCGGGAATCATGTGTATACATCAAAAGGGAGTCATTACCCCCTCGCTTTCGTCTAATTCTTACTGCTGGTCCTACAGAGGGTTGGGGGGAAGTATACGCTGTGCGAAAAGCAGCACGCGTTCAACAAACACCATACGCAATCGTCGCCGTGGTCAGCTTAGGGAACTCGGGCTGGCGCGCGTAATTCTGACAGCAGGCAGGGGTTTCAAAGTCAATTTACAAGTATATGAAAATTATTAACACTTTATGCAGCAACATCGCGCTTTGTGCCGCTTTGTACACCAAGGTTCATAAAACATTTTCTAATGCCCGAATATTCACTCTCAACCACTACTAGAAATTCCCAGAGGACTTCTGTTCTTAGCTTTCATGTCGTAAAGTAGATGGTTAAGATGGCGAGTTATTAGTCGTCTATGTGCTATGTGTTTCGAAGTTTAACTCGAAATGTGAAATGAAATCTACGGAATCTTTTGGGAAATCCCAAAGAACATTGGCATTATTTTTAACGAGTGTTTCTATGTAAAATCCTGTTTCTATGTGAAATCCCACATTTTTTTCAAACAGTGGACTTTCTTATTTACTGCAGTATCTGCAGTTTAACTCATTAGTTGTATCGATATGCAGTACCGCAATCTCCCTCTCACTCGCTCTCGCTCTCTCTCTCTCTAATTTCAACTCAAAACTTTAGTGGTGGCTAACAAAATCAAGAAGGAAAATTCGCCTTATTGGGCCATTTCGTTGGATACTTTAAAATGCACAACATAATAAAACTTGGGAAAATTTAATCTGAAAGTTTTTATTGAACAATTAACATACAAGTTAAAATGATGTAACTTCCACCCTTTAATGCGCGAAAGCAATAATTAAACAAGATACACTGTACATGATTTTTTTCTACTTAATGTAAGCACGGTTTCCCATCCAGAAAGTCTTCCTACTAAGTCATTGCTAACAAAAAGCTAAGCAAAAAGTTTTGAGAGCCCAGAAAAGGACGATTTGGATTTTCACCGCGAACGAAGTAGAGTCTACGCCCCTAAGTGAGCTCGTAGATGAATCAACAGAAGACAGGCTACAGGAAACACCATGTGACAGACGGAGCACTTGTAAGGTCTCTCTTTCGTATGGGTTTGCATGTGTTTCTGCAGGAGCTGTGATTGAGAGAAATTCTTCTGACACAAGGTGCACCCAAATAATGTCCCCTCCGCGTGTTTTCGCAGATGTGACACCATAGGGCTGGATTGAGCAAACGCCCTGTAGCACACAGGACACTGATACGGCTTTACTCCAGTGTGGGTCCGAAGATGAATCCGTAGACTTTCTGGAGCAGCGAATTTCTTCTGGCACAAGGTGCACCCGTATGTTTTCTCACCCGTGTGCAGTCGCAAATGGTCCCTCAGATTTGAAAACCTCTTGTGGCACACAGGGCACTGGTATCGCCTCTCTCCAGTATGAAGTCGCTGGTGATTCCTCATACTGTAAATACAAGAAAACTCCTTGTGACACACGAAGCACTTGAAGGGCTTCTCCCCGGTGTGAATTCGCGAATGTCCCTGCAGGTGAACCTTCTGAGTGAACTTCTTGTGACAAACTGTGCACTCGAAGGGTTTCTCTCCCGTATGGGTACGTATATGTAGCCGCAGAACACCAGGTGTAGAAAACGCTTTACGACACACGGTGCACTCGTATGGTTTCTCCCCGGTGTGGGTTAGCTGATGTCTTCGCAGATGGGCCACTTGTCTGAAGTTCATGTTGCAAACGGTACATTGAAATGGTTTCTCTCCTGAATGGGTCCGCAGATGGTCCTGTAAACTGTATGATACAGAGAACTTCTTGTGGCATATGCTGCACTCGTACGGCTTTTCTCCACTGTGAGTTCGCATATGTGACCGCAGACTGCTGGATACAGCGAACTTCTCGTGGCACACATCGCACTCGTATGGTTTCTCTCCTGTGTGCGTTCGAAGATGTTGTCTAAGCTTTCCACTTTCCGCGAACTTCTTCTGGCATATGGTGCACTCGAACGGCTTCTCACCGGTGTGTGTTCGGAGATGCATTCGAAGCTTTCCACTTTCCGAGAATTTCTTCTGGCATATCGAGCACTCAAACGGCCTCTCCCCAGAGTGCAGTCGTTGATGAATCTTCAAATTACCGGATGTAGTAAATTTTTTGTCGCATTCGTCGCACTTGTACGGTTTCTCTCCGGTGTGCGTTCTCATATGAGAAGTCAGGCTCTGAGAGGTGGACAACCTCTTCAAGCACACGGTGCATTCATGAGGCTTCTCTCCAGTACGCATTCGCTGACGCTTAAACTTCTTCTGACACGGAGTGCACTCGAACTTTTTCTCATCTGTGTGAGTTCGCAGATGTCTCCGTATAGAGTACTTCTTGTGGCATACTGTGCACTCTAATGGCATCTCTGCTTCGTCCGGCTGCATGGTGTGTGAGAGGAACGCTTGTTGCGACGCGTTGTGCTCGACGGATCTACGATGACGACGAAATCTGTCGGCTGAAAACAAATAGAGAAATAGTTGATAAAACTCTCGTCTGACTCCTGACTACTGGCCCAACAGAGAGGTCGGGAAGTATTTCCGATGTGCGAGAAGCAGCACAATGCACGCCCGAATTGAGTACCACAAAAATCACATGTCAGTCTCAGTCAGTCAGTCAGTCAGTCAGTCAGTCTCTCTCTCTCTCTCCCCATTATTGCACCGCCCCGCGGCTGCTCGCGGAACAATGCGCGGCGTCGCGTTATCAAATGTTATCAGTAGGCTGCTACACCACCGCCGACCCGCCTGTTGCGAATAATCACCAGAACCGAACCAGAACCAGAACCGGGCGCCGGCCACACCGACACACCTTCCTCATTCCTATCATCCTTTCTCCTCTCCTTCCCTATCCTCCTCCTCCTCTCTTTCTCTCATTCTTTCCTCTCGATGCCGTCTTTATCTCCCACATCTCTCCGTTTTCCGTCCCGATCCTGACCCTCCTGCCCGTCTCCATGCACTGCACCACTCGACCGCGCGAGAATGAATGGAAATGTATGGAGGCAGGTTGACGGGCGGGCTTTGCTTTCTCTCCGGACTGACCATCCCCCCCTTCCACGCTTTGGGCCCAAGCTTTTCCAAAAGATGTAAACACTACTACGAAGGAGCATCCCCCCCCCCCCCCCCCCCCCCACAAACACACACACACACATAGGCAGAGGTGCGCAACAATTATAAGCTGTCCAGCTGTCTAGTCCTCGTTTTTTTTCTTATCCTTCCTTTTCTTTCCCCTTCAGCGTTTCCCCCAGCAGGCTTCTGCCTTGCGCGGCGCACTCAGTTTCCTCCGCTCGGTGTGACAGCCGCCACCACGCCCGGTAGTGCGGCAGTTAGTTCAGGTCTGCGGGGCCGCGGTGCATCGCGCGCTGCAGCGGGCCTTGAGCCGCGGTGCGGTAACAGCGCCACCCGACCACCCGACCCGCACAACGTTCAGTTACTGCTTGCCCTCCCAGCAAGTTGGGGGGCCGAGGGTAGTAGATAACAGCTAAACAGATTTATACAAGAAAAGGGATTAGCTGTCAACATTACGGCTGCGAGGTATTAACAAAAATAGATTCATAGATTTTTCATCACAAAAGTCACTACAGGATTGAGTGTGGGGGTCCAAAACTGCGGGAATCGATCAGAAGGGGTCATTGAGAGTTAGCAAAACACGAATTTCCTAACTGCTGGAAAATCGTGCAGCTAAACAGCTAGGACAGAGGGACAATTAGCATCCAAGGTAACGCTGCGTCGCTCGGCGAATGGGAAGACAAAGTGTAACTTGCAATGTAACCATTTCAAATTTTAACTTTACGACACACATCATGATTTTTTCTTCTGGAACCCTTACAAGTATTTCTCACAGTAAATGACTGCCATCAGAACGAAACTCTGTCCCTGCACAAACAGCACCACCAAACCAACCCATCGCCATCGAAAACGGGAATATGAAACGTTTCTCACTCCGTCGCGAAAAAAGGCGAGGAAAAGGGCATCATGGGTTTTGGCACCGACAGGGACGACTGCAAAGCTCTCTGCTCGGCAAGCGCGCGGCGGCGGGCCGTTCCGACTCACTTGTCGGGGCGGCTGCGGACGCTGAGCCTGCGTCGCCTGCTCCAGGTCATGGCGTGGCGGCGCCAGGAGGCGGTGCACTTTGCGCTTCAATGAGGGAGGCGACGACTGCGCGCCGCCGAGGGAGACGGTGGCGGCGCGCCGGGCCACCCGGAGGAAAGCGGGGAGCGGAGGTGCCCCCCCCCCTCCTCTTTCCACACCGACGAACCCATAGCGTCAACAGAAGAAGCAATAAAGCGCGAGCCAGCGTCGCGGGGGACCGGCGTCGTGGCTGGAGATTTAAAAGCCGCGGGACTTTTTCCGGTAAAAATTCAATATTCCTTCGAGAAAAAAAAAATTGACAAAACTGGAATGTTTCTGGGAAAATTGAAACTTTGTAGAAAATACTTGAAAATTTATGTCCCAAAAACAACTTTTTCAGAAAATTAAAACAGCTAGTGGCAGCCTCCGCTTGAACGGCACCTGACTCCGGCCGCCCGGCTTCGGTCGGGCCCCGGAGGATGGCCCCCGCCGTGCACCTGGACACTGACCCGGCTGGAGCGGCGAAAGTTCCGGTTAGGGACTGTCCAGAATCAAATTTCAACTCAAAAAATTCAGTGGTTGGTAGCAAAGAGAAGTAGGCAAATGTGCTAAGCTATGACATTTAATTGGGCACTGTAAAATTAATTAACAAACTAAAACTAAAATGGAAAAGTAAATCCGAAACAATTTTTAACAAACGATCAACATATACTGTACAATTTACAATGAGGTAAATTCCGCTATTTAATGCGGGAAAGGGGTAATCGAACAAGGGGGATGCAGGATTATCCGTAGATATTTATTTTACCTTCAGTGTAAACTGGTTGGCGTCTACCAAAATATTGGCGTCCTCAAATGAATGCCATATATTAGCGTTAAATTACTGGAAACATAGGCCAGGGACACAGGAAGTCTGCGTACTATAGAGTTGCAAATATTTTCGGCAAAAACTTTTTGAGCGTCGAGAAAAGGAGAATGTACATTTTAGCAGCCAGTTGAACGCGAGGAGAGTCTACGCCTATATGTGAGCTCGCAGATGTGTCAACAGAAGACAGGCTACTGGAAACTCCATGTGACAGACGGAGCATTTGTAGGGCTTCTCTTCTGGGTGGCTTTCCATGTGTCTCCGTAGATCTGATTCAGAAAACTTCTTCTGGCACACGGTGCACCCAAAAAGTGCCCCTTCCGCGTGTTTCCGCAGATGTGACACCATAGGACTGGATTGAGCAAACGCCCTGTAGCACACAGGACACTGATAGGGCTTTACTCCAGTGTGGGTCCGTAGATGAAGCCGTAGAGTTTCTGGAGCAGCGAATTTCTTGTGGCACAAGGTGCACCCGTACGTTTTCTCGCCCGTGTGCAGGCGCACATGGTCCCTCAGACTCCCAGAATACTTAAACCCCTTGTGGCACACAAGGCACTGGTATGGCCTCTCTCCAGTATGAAGTCGCTGGTGTGTCCTCATATTGTAAATACAAGAAAACTCCTTGTGATCCCGACGCAAAAAGATTTGTTTGCTTTTGGTATGCTTTCGGTACGCTATCGGTTCGCGGAGGGTCGCGCTCGGTGCGCCGATGGGTCGCCGAGGTTCGTCATGCTCCTGGGCGACGTATCGCCAAGATTCGCCGGAGGTTCGCGCCGGAGCGACCTTTGTCCGTCATCGAGTCGCTCCATGCGCAGACAGAGCGATCTGAGTATGTTTTCAAGTCGCTCCGAGACTAACAGAGCGACCCCACTACGCTTTCGGTTCACCTGGAGAGCCCCGGGTAGTCGGGGTATTTTCCCTCTCAGGAAACCCCGGCCGTTGGCTAGCGCTAATCCCTAGACCGGCGCACTTGAGAGAAGAGGACAACGATGGGAGGGCCCCGACGGCTCCTCTGCACTGCACACTGCACACTTTGGCAGCTGGACACAGCGACCACGTCAGTCTACATACAAGTTGAAGTGGCAGAGAGGACGCACTCGTAGAGAGCGAGGACGCATACCACCTCCGTACAACTATGCACGTACGTAATGTACGCACAATTTTAAGCGATATTATGCATAATTACGTGCAATATTGTACATAGTTACGTACAATTTTTTACGTAGGTTATGTATGTTGACAGTTGTACGCAGCTACGCACAAAACAGTACATTGTCAGTCAGTGCCCGCCGCAAAATAATTTGTTCACTTTATGTGTGCGTTCTGCTTGCGTCGCGAATAGGGGGACTTCAGTACGCTTTCAGGTCGCTCGCGGTTCGTCGGTA